GCATCTCAGATCTAGATGCAATATTGATAATATTTTAGAGATGATCCTAATCGAGTACGTACCAATACACCTTTTCCTCATCAAATATCCTAACACAGAAGTTGATCTGTGAAAATGCATTGCAATTTGTGAAATTCGCATTCCACCCTGGATGTCAATATTTTTTGGGAAGCATGGCTATGTGAATTTCAACAGAAATATTAGGCTTAATCATATCATTGTAGCATATTCAACTACCATTACTTCGTCACCTAAACGAAATAGGGTGAATACATCTCATAAATATTAAATTTACCCTCTAACACTCATACCATAAGTGTGAGATTTTTCTGGTTCGCCTTGAATGTCATGCTTGATCTATACATTGATCTATGGCAATGGCGAATAAGTAACGTGTAAAAAGTATTGCTTGCATTACTAGAACACGGATTCGATTCTCACTGGTGTACTAATCAGACCAGTCAAAACTCAATCCAGTTCACCCTGCGAATTGATCAGGGAGGAATACATTTCTTCTAGTGTAGTTTTATGCATCTAAGGCCTGCACAACAGGGCGCGTAATGACGACCCTTTCAACATGCAACAACAGTAATGTTTGACCTGGACCGTCAGATCATCTGAACCATGCTAATTAAGCCCATATTGTGGCCTCTTCTCATCCAAACCTAAGGGTTTCAGCATATTCTAGACTGTTTTGAGGTGTCCTCAAGTTTGACTTTAAGCGGCCATTCCTCGACCGTCTGTTCACCCCCAGCCGATTGTCATCTGGAAGAAGAGCAGTGTTGTACTTGAAGATGAGCTCGTCTGGGTCACGCTGCTTTCGGATACTTAGAAGTCTTTGTGCACTTGTACTTGCACCACAGCACTCGCCCCAGCAACACAGCTGGCGATGGAGACTGCTGCTCTCCGACTGCCTGACTAGTAGGCTGACGAGGGCAATTAGAAAGCCGACCGGCATGCTTGTCCGCTTAAGGAGCCCGGACGGATCGTTCGTAGTACGTCTGACATGTCGCCCGATTGACTGGAAAAGCTGGCTCAGTAAGGTTGTCCCGGGAGATAGTACACGCAGCTGGTACATGCCATGGTCCGACTACCGTAGCCTCACATGTGCACGGATGCATGTGAGCTCAAATACTAGCGTTGGTCTGGACAGCTGAAAGCCTGCCTTACTTGGCTCATGGGGGCAGCAACTAAAATGCCCATAAAGATATTGGGCGGTTTCTATGGCACTCCGTCACTATGCGACGCTTTAGGGCCGACTTGCCAACACGGCGTTGGCGGTCGGGCCGACCGAGGCAAGCGGTGATGTAAACCCCCTCGCGGAGGATCAGTTTGCCGGGGAGCCCTGGAAGAGAGACAAGCCAGGGTGGTTCGACTCGCCGTGATGCCCATGTTGATAAGCTCAAGGTGCTCAGGGTTGTATAACATGCATGTTGCAAGCTGACGGTCAGGCTGACTGCCAGACGATGGGCGTAATAATCTAATCTCCGCGAACACTGGACGCCAGTACAAGTGATCTGACGACATGGGATCAACTCGTGGTTGGAGCAGGCTCATGCAACAGTGTGTACCGGAGTGAGGCCGATTGCAGTGTCATGCCGCTTTTGATGCGATTGAAGGTGGCGAGGCGACGACAAACAGTGAGTTGGAGTAAAGGCAATCAGCTGATGAGCACAATGGGCAAACAGCCAAACCCGAGACTGCGACCGGCAATTCATCGAGTACAGAAAGATGCCCCCCATAGATGAAATTTCCATCCCCACAGAAACAACCCACCACAAGACAAGTAAACCTGTATATCTTCAATAGAGCAATCTTGGTAAACGGCTCTGAAGTTGTGAAGTTGGCATGTGCTAAAGTCTTCTGGTATAGTAGTTAACAAAATTCTCAGCCTCAGACAGTGGAATTAGTACATTCCCAGACGTTTCGCCGGAATCGCAGTCGGCATCGTCAATGAGTCTTGCCATTTTCAGCATCGAGCTACAACTCGTCAGAGAGATCTGTCTCTTGGTTTTGAGAATGGCAAGACTCACTGATGATGCCGTGTAACTCGATCCGTTGAATTGGAGGAAATTTGGCCGATGTCCAACCTTGCCATCCTTAATCTGAAAACGATGCATCAGACAAGAGAATATGATCAGTCGTTGTGACAGCGATATATTGTATTAGGGTAACCACGTTAACAGTTCTAATACCGCCTCATCATGTGCTGTGCTGAGGCCGAACCCAGACTATAGCTGAGATGAGAGCATCCCTTAGGGATGCAGAACCAAATCGAATTCAATGCAATAATCTTCATGGGCAGATGTGAATTTATTCTAATCACAGACCAGTTGAACTTAGTGGCACAATAGCTGAGTTGGACATTCATTTTAAGTTGGCACTTCTCTCACAATTAGGCAGAAAAAAATAACGAAATGTTGGATTTTCAGCATTTTCCATGGAATATTCGAATCGGCCCAATGGCAGACCGTCAACTTAGATGCACAAATCGGTATTCAACACTGCAATACTATCATTTTTGAGTCTCCGGTGAAACAAATTCACCAATCCATTCCAGTCCGCCGAACGCAAGAAATGAAATCTCCAACGAAGTGAAGTGGAAATTACAATATTTCTTAGAGTTTATTATTCATCGCAATGATGAATACTATTAATACGTACTCTAAAGACATCCATTACGATAATAGCACAAAAAGTCATATAAACACTCATGAAACTAAGTTCCGCCGCCGTAGAACAGCTCTGTCGGTTGAGAATTTCGAACAATTCCGATAGGCGGGTAGTAAATGATATAGAATTAGTTTCTACAAGACTTAACAAACAGAAGTAGAAAGAAGTGAATCGGGAGAGAAAACATGCAATGCAGTCGGACTTAGTGAATAAGAATAAAGCAGGACAGGAAGTCAGTTTCTTAGTGTTCTCTAGTACTTCTGCTTTAAAAACACACATTCGTCCTTACATATGGATCTTTCGTTCAACGCATCTAAGAAGACTACAATCGAGTGACATAGCAAACTTAATAAAAGATTTTGCAACCTATACCTGTTTGGAGGAAGAATCTGCTCTTGTTGTCATGCTTTCTGTCGATTGACACATTCTCAGCCAGTTCGCCGGCAATTAGGTGTATTTCTTCGCAGATTAGAACCATTTTTTCGCCTTTTTATATGAATAGATTTAGCTCACTGTTAGGCTGGCATATTATTACTAAAATTGACCACTACGATCTTAGTGGAACGGCAAAAATGCTATATAGTCGTCAGTCCAAGGTTGGGAGAATACTTGGCAAAAGTGTCAGAGAGCTCAACACAGGACTCATTTTTCGAAAACCTCCTGTAGACACAATCAAATTAAGAAAACGATGAAAAGACATTTGTGATCAGAAAAACTTCATTCCTAAGAAAATGAAGGGCATTCAAACATGTTTTACGTACCTAATATCACAGCTGGTTATAATTCCCGTCCAGTCATTCAATCAATATGCACAAATGTTGTAATAATTTTTTGTTAAAAATTAAGACAGGTGTTGGGTTTTGCATCCAATCACAGGAAGTATATGAAATGCAGGGCTTTTTTAGCACCCCTGAAAGTGTTCGAACCGTGCCAATGTGCATTTACAGGTAACCATGTAGCCACCTAAAATGCACAACCTAAACACCCACGTTGAATCGAACTAAAAACGGTCCCTTCACAACTCGCTTATTCGCTGGCCATTCTCGGACTGAGTATCAAAAAACTAATTATTTTCGTTTATAAGTAGGCTTCAGGATTAGCAGTAGGTTCAATATATAATAGAGCCATATTCTTGCTATTTTCTTTAAAGTAGTTTGAGTTTCGCACAATGATGAACATGCGACACCTTTCCATTGAATTGTACATAGTCTTGCTTCACCAAAGGTATTCCCATCCAATGTGGAATGTAACTTCGACCTCGCCCTTGATTTATCAGCACATCTAGCAAAAATTAAACCCAGGCAGTGCAGTTACCAACTCTGATATAATGCTCAATATTTTATTGATTAAACATCCACATTCGATGGAGGTCAGTCATCGGAGAAGATCAAACTTCCCCTTACTTACCTCAGCTGGAAGACCTCGGAGTTTCTAAAGCATCAGTCAAGACCTTTCGTATGTTATGTGGCCAATGTTGTCAGAATAGAAATCGGTACTTTAAGAAATAGTCCCGATGCCTTAATATTTCAAGATATTTAAATATTATATGCGTTTCGGATAAACCCGCTTAGAAACAACTATATTCGTACAATAGCGAATTTGTTCAAGATTAAGTGAGAGTAAGCCTTGATTTTTCACTAAATTTATCTTTGCCTAGCTTGCTTAGTGTTAAAGGGATGCCTCTAGCGTGAATAAGTCAACGGTTCATATATGCACGGATCGAATCGCGTAAAGCCTGCCAATGAGACGATGAGTTGAGTTCCAGTCGCAATCTGGCTGATGGAGGTCATCATAGATACATGCCGTGAGCTCTAAAAATCATAATGATTTCCTGGGAAAATTATCGGTCCATTAAGAGACAATTATCACAGTTAAACTCTTACTATAAACAGGCTCCTGATAGCTGCAAGATAAGCGCCAACTGACTTGCTTGTTTGTAGCCACCTGGGGCTTGATAGTTGTCAATAGGCATTGACTTTGCCTACTTCCATCAGCATCGACAATCAGATTCTTGATTTCCTTGAATAAGCGGTTACTAAATCAACGTCGATACTGCTTCGAGTTCACCAGAAATCAGAAGATTTTATATTCAGAGAAAGTAAAATATTCAAAGAAACCAATTCTCAAAACTATCAGCAACCCTCGAATAGGAGTTCCCTTTATTGAAATGAAACCATGCATGAATTCCAGGACCCTTGGTTGAAGGACTGAAAGTTGAATCTAACCCGAATATTGTAGCATAACGTAAACCCCTACCCAACACTTTCACGACTGTTGCTCGATCACAGGAAAGATGGGAATTTCAAGGATGGCTAGGCATTTCCGATATCAGAGTGTATAGTTGGATTATCGAGAATGAAACCAGATAGTTTGCATAAAAATCGACTACGCTACTTATATTCAAAGAAAGTAGGCTTTCTAAACAATCATTAATCTTTAATACGTTGAACTAACACGGTTTGAGTCCCGCTGGTGATGCTGATGAGACCCAGGCGAGGTCGAGACCGCTGTCCACCCTGG